CCCGCGGTCATGATGCTATCTTGGTCGTCGTCGACCGCTTCACGAAGCGTGCACACTTTGTTCCGTGCCGCTATGCCATCAGTGCACGTGAGGTCACCGACATCGTATTTGACCGAGTCGTGCGTGACCACGGCTTACCTCTGAGCATCATATCTAACCGTGACCCGCGCTTTACCAGCTGATTCTGGCGACGGCTCCACGAGGTGTACGGCACTCAGCTCCGCTTCTCCTTGTCTTACCATCCTCAGACTGATGGTCAGACCGAGATCACGAACAGGACTCTCGGGGATGTCGCCTTACTATTGCGGCCTCGACTATCACCCTCGTGTTCCCGCGGACTTCCTTCGACCGTCCCATATGCACCCCGATACGAGTTGTCCCGCGCTGGATGATTGGGTTGCACACATGACGTCGATTATGAAGACCGCGCATGAGCACATAACCGCTTCCCAGACTCGCATGGCAGCACGTGCGAACCGATCGAGAATGGATCATCCATTCAAAGTCGGTGATGATGTGCTTATTGACACCCGCCACTTACAGCTCGAAGCGGACATGCTTCGCAAGTTTCGGCGTCGCTTCTTTGGCCCATGCCGCATCCTCCAGGTCGTCGGTTCTGATACGGCATCTAGCCCGGTCAGCTTTCGTGAGAAGCTGCCTGACTACCTACGCCAGGCTCGTGTGCATGATGTCTACCACGTCTCGTTACTGCGTCCTTACCGCAGACCGTCTGAGCGTTTCGCTGGACGACCATACGAGCGCCCTCCACCCATCATGGTGGACGGTCACGAGGAGTTCCTCGTTTCAGACATCATTGGTCGCCGAGTCACCGACGACAACCCTCCCTACGTCGAGTATCTCGTACGCTGGAAGGGTTACCCTGATGAGGAGGCTACCTGGGAGCCCCTCGAGCACTTGCAGCACGCTCGCATGTTGGTGCGTGCCTATGACCGTGCTCGTCGTGCTGGGTTCACTGCTCCTCCTCAGCCCACTGACCCTCCTCCTTCTCCTCTGGCTGAGGAGACCGCTGAAGTTGAACCTGCTCCATCTGAGGCACACCTTTATGCTTCTGAGCGTCCACAGTGCACTCGTCGTCGTCGTGCTCGATACGACGATTGACTCTGACTTACCTTCCCACGTCTTTGACTTCTTAGTACTCCATCCACATCAGTTTTGCTACTTCAGCTCATTGACGTTGCGGCTCTTCCTCGACGGCATTCCGGACTTCTCATCGTGGACGTCATCGGCAGCTTCATGGACTTCATCACGATCAGCTCTGCCTACTTCAGACGTCGCCACTCTCTTACTACTCTACCCTGTACAGTACCCTGCTTGTGTCGCATGATGGTCTCCCTTTAGCCGGGTTCCTCTGAGTTGGGCTCTCCCTTGGTATACGCATAGGCATCGGGACCGTAGCGTT